CCCCCCCAACCCCCGATGGTCTGAAACTGTGAGCCTAAATAAGTCCTTCCCTCAAGCTGTTCCTGCCAGGCACTGGGGACACAGTGACACACAGGGAACACATATATAACTGAACGTTTCTACTTTCAGGCCCATGAACTCAATAGCAGGCCTGCCCACATGACATGTGGAGGTCAGAAGTCACAACTCACATCAGGTGAGTTCCAGGAATTGAACTCGGGTCATCAGGCTTGGCAGCAAGTGCCTTTACCCGCTGAGCCATCTTGCTGGCCCAGTTTTTCTGACCTGCACGACAGTAGGCGAAAACACCTCACCACAGCGGCTCACAAAGGCCCCTGAGTGGGGCCTGACTTACACCCTGGAGGCAGCTCCTGCACACGCTATACAAGTCTTTGCGGACCCAAATCCCCCAGTCATGCACAATCCACGAGCTCCTCCTCATCCCATGGAGCCCAGGGTGGTGAATCTTGACTGTCAATTAGACAGGATCTAGACTCGCCCAAGAGATAGGTCTCCAGGTGGATCTGTGAAGGGGTTTCTAGAAGGGGTTAACTGAGGTGGGAATTCCTACCCTGAGCGTGGGCAGCACCACCCTATGAGCTAGAGCTCCAAACTGAATAAAAAGGAGAACATGAGCGAAGCATCCATCTCTCTTTGCTTCCTGACTGCAGATGCGACATGACCAGCTGTATGACCTCTCTCCCACCAGCATGGATTCTATCTTCCAACCAGGATCCGAAACAAACCCCTCTCCCCTGGAACTGGTATGAAAACGCTGGTCAGGCATTTCGTCACAATGAGAAAAAGTAAGTAATATAGAACCCAGCTCCTGTGCCGCCTCCTCAGGCAGCCTTCTGAGCTCCCTCTCTGCAGGCGGATGCCCTGCTGTCTCCCACTGCTCCTGGTTACCTCCTCACACTTCTGTGATGGTGTTATGGAGGATGCATAGCTCATCGGGCTGGGTGCTGAGTGCTCAGTACCTCGGTCCTCACAACAGTCCTGCACCTTCCACAGAAGGGGAAACTGAGGCTCTAGGGTGAATGGGAGGTTCAAGGGTATGCCCAGAGGAGCAGGGAACCGAAACAGTTGGATTCCCAAGTCCACAATATTCAGGCCTGTCCACCTAGGGACAGAGGGCCCAGTTGGGAGCTGGGCTGGTTTTCTTGGAGTATCCAGATTGGAAGCACACAGCAGAGCCTCCAAGAGTGCTCTGGGATTCAAGGCAGAGACCATACTTGGTCAAGAGAAGAGAGGAGGACTGTGTATGTCTGAGTGGGGAGGTCAGGGCCCAGAGAGGGCAGGGGCCAGAGAGGGCAGGGGCCGGAGAGGGCAGGGGCTGGAGGGGCAGGGGCGGGAGAGGCGCTGACCTTACGGTGCTGCTCATAGTTGCGGATGAAGTCTCTCAGCTGCTCCTCTCGGCTCTCCAGAGTGGCGTACAGCTGCTGCATTTGGCTTACCAAGTCCGTCTTCTCTCCCTTTAAGCGCTTCCGGTCGGCTTTCATGGCTGTGGACAGGAGAGAGCATCAGTTAGCTCCTGCTGCCCTAACTGTTCCTCTGGGTGCCTTTGGCCAGGTGAGGAAATGGGGTTCACCCACTCTGTGTCCCTCCTGGACCCCCCCCCCCCGCCCCACTGCAGTGTCCCAGAATTGGGACCCAGGCCTGCTCTGTGAATGGCCCTTTCTTATCTCTGATTTGACGATCTACAACGGAAGCCCTGCTAGGCTGCATGGCGGCGACAGGGGCCCCTATGAGGGGAGGTGGCAACCCTATGGTTGAAATGAGCCCCAGGGTCAGCCCCCACCCCCACCCCGAGCCCACAGAACAGCTCAGTCCCATCCGAGACTCTCTTGTCAGCCCACCTGATTTTTAACATGTAAGGGTTTTAATGACACACAAGACAAGACACCAAACAGCATGGGCCACACAGGCCTGGACTCTGTCAAATTAAAGACTCTGTGCCCCACAGGGAGACATGGAGAACAGGAGAAGACAGCCCACAGAAGGGAGAAAATACCTGCAAATTGCATATCCAATAAGAGACATCTATAATATAAAAATATAAATCCCAAGCCGGGCCGTGGTCGCGCACGCCTTTAATCCCAGAACTCAGGAGGCAGAGGCAGGTGGATCTCTGTGAGTTCGAGGCCAGACTGGTCTACAGAGCGAGTTCCAGGAAAGGCGTCAAAGCTACAAAGAGAAACCTTATCTCATCTTGAAAAACATGTACACAGACAGACAGACAGACAGACAGACAGACAGACACACACACACACACACACACACACACACCATATCCCAAGCCAGCAAAATGGCTCAGCTGGTAAATGTACCCATGGTCAAGCCTAACAACCTGGGTTTAATCACCAGAACCCACATGGTGGAAGGACAGAGCTGAATCCCATAAACTGTCCTCTGACCTCCACATGTGCCCTGTAATGTATATGTATAAATTACATATATATGTAATATATATGTACATATACACACAAACACAGACACATGCACACACACAGAGACACAGACACACACACTAAATTAAATGCAATAAAAAATGTAAAAAATAAATTCTCACAACTCAACAATAAAAAGACAACTGCTGGGGCTGGAGAGAGGGCTCAGTGGTTAAGGGCACTTGCTGCTCTTGGAGAGGACTGAAGTTCATTTCCCAGCACCCACCAGGCAGCTCACAACTACCTCCAATTCCAGTGGCAGGATTTCTGATGCCCTCTTCTGGCCTCTGTGAGTACTGCACTCATGTGCACTTATTTACACACACACACACACACACACACACACACACACACACACACACACACAGCCACAGCCACATAAGTTTTTAATTTTTTCTTAAAGACACCTGTGAGGGTAGATTTTGATTGTCAACATGATAGCAATGAGAAATGTCTGGGAGATTACTGAGCACACACTGGGTGTGTATGTGAGGGCATTTTCAGAGGCCATTAGATCCTGAGGGCACTGACTTTATCAGTGGCTGGATTCACAGTCTGAATAGAGTGTCGGGAGTGGGCAGGGCTGTGAAAGCCAGGGCCTATGTGGAGGAGGTGGGTTGCTTGGATCAGGCCCCCATTGGCCCTGGTCACTTCCTGCCACCCCCTGCTTCTCTACTGTCTCGAGGTGAACAGGTAGGCTCTGCCATGCCCATGCTGCCATAGTTTCTATCTTATGCTGGCCCCAAAACAACGAAGCTTGCCAAGCATGTACTGAAACCCCAAACACCACAAATCAAAGGAAAGCTTCCTTCCCTTAAAATGGTTTCTCTTACGTTGTTCATTACAAAGCCTAACACAACTCATTTATATACTAAAAAAGAAAACAAGAGAAGACATCCCACTTTTAAAAAGAGGTAAAGAATCTTTATATAGCCGCCCAAGAAATGACTGGGAAGTACAGAATGAAATGTAAATTAAAGCCAAAAGGAGGGCCACTTTACCCTCTGGATGGGCTAAAATTCAACAGACAATAATGAGTGTTGACTAGACCTGGGAGAAACTGGATCCCTAGTACATCCTCACACATGCTGGGCCACACACGATGCAGATGCCTTGGAAAACAGCCTGGCACTTTCTCAAAAGACCAAACATACACTCACCATATGGCCATCGCTTTCACTACCAGAAATATACCAAAGATAAAGAAAACCACCAGGCTGACGACAGAGCTCAGCTGGCAAAATGCTCACCTAGCACAACCAGGTCCTGTATCCCCTGCATTTCATGGACCAGACATGGTGGCTGGACATGGTGATCCATGCCTGTAACCCCAGCACTCAAGAAGGTAGAGTCAGGAGAAATGGGAGTTCAGGTCAACCTCGGCTACACAGCAAGTTTGAGGCTAGCCTGATCTAGAAACTTGACCTCAAAATGAAAGAGAAGGGAAGGGAAGGGAAGGGAAGGGAAGAGAGAGAGAGACAGAGACAGAGAGACAGAGACAGAGAGACAGAGAGACAGAGAGAACCAAAACCAGATGTAAAATCCTATACACAGCTGGGCAGTGGTGGTGCACAACTCTTTAATCCCAGCACTCGGGAGGCAGAGGCAGGAGGATCTCTTTGAGTCTGAGGCCAGCCTGGGCTACAGAGTGAGTTCCAGGACAGACACCAAAACTACACAGAGAAACCCTGTCTTGAAAAACTAA